ACTTTCAGAAGCTAGAACTAGACTCCAGACTGAATGGTGGACCAGAGACATGGGGCTGTTCTTGTACAGTCAGGTACTGCAGTCCTGCTTGTACTTTCCTCTGCATTTTTAAAGGGCACATATCCTGCATTTTTCTTATTTAGGTCCACTTATAACGTTTGAATGTTTTTTTTTCTTTGGCATTTTTTTGTGGTCATAATGCATTTTTTACATAGACTTTAAAATAACGCTGTTCTTGTTATTGTGCCTTTAAGGCTGTATGCGAATAAGCTCTATTTTGATTGGCTGTGCTTCATTCAACAGTCAGAGCTGAAACACTCCTTAGAACTTCAGTGTGATGGGTGATGGGTGAAGGGTGGGGGTGGCCTAAACTGCTGTATGCTGAATAGGCGGAGATATGTAAATGAGCTTGTGTGACATCACAGAAACAAGAATTCTAACCAGCATAGTTTCCATATATTGATGGGTGGTGAATGGTATGTTTTGAAACTTTAACAGTGTTTACATATTAGTTCAAAGTCATTTATTGAGAAAAAGAGAGAGAAAAACAGGGAAACTGTGCTATTTAGAATTCTTGTTTCTGTGATGTCACAAAAGCTCATGTGCATACAGCCACCCATTCACAGTACAACAGTGTAGCCCACCCCCCACCACTCCTCCACACCATCACACTCAAGTTCTAAGGAGTGTTTCAGCTCTGAGTGCTTTCTGGATGTAGCATAGCCAATCTTATGTGACGTCACAGAAACAAGAATTGTAAACAGCATAGTTTCCGTATACGGACGGGTGGTGAATAATATGTTTTGAAACTTAAACAGTGTTTACATATTATTTCACACTCCTTTATTTAGAAAAAAGAGAGTGAAAAACAGTGAAATTCAGTGTTTCCATGATACAGACCCTTTAAAGACAGAGCCCACGCTGATCTCTGTGTTTGCTAATTTCCCCGCTTCCCCTCTCTCTTTCCTTCAGATTTATGTGCGCATCAAAGGTCCCCACCTGCTCGTCGCCTTCATAGCTCACATCGCTGCTGTGGTAGATTTTCTTTTTCTTTTTTTTTTTCTTTTTCTGGTTTAGCCCAAATCATGCAGCGCGGAGTGAGCTTGAAAGCGGTGACAGGAAGCCGAAGAGTGTAAAGTGGCAGTCAGAGAGGTGTTTGTCTAGATCGTGTGATTAGTATGGCACAAGGATAAGCTGTCACATGTAACATCAACATGGCCTGTCTTTGCGAGGGTCTCTAGGGGGGCTTCGTCAGGGGCCTCCACTGTCTTTGATAAAAAAGCAAAGAAGTGCTATAGCAGAGGCAGCTCTATAGAAGGCCTGCGACTACAAAGGCCCGGCTGCGGCCGAGCTCTGAAAGGTGTGGGCTGGTATTTCAAAATGGAGGCTGTGAGGGTGTCCGGCGTGCCTGTGGTTTCAGACCCCGCCTGAGTTCACTGTTTATCTAAAGGTGACATCGCCCTCGCCGATATCTGCGAAGCCTCACACTCTCGTGGCTAAAGGGCTCTCAGGAGTCATGCCAAGGAAGTAGGGTTGGGCAATACACCAAAAATACAATATCGTGATACTTGAAGACGTTCTTTCAATCACGGTATTTTGTGTTTTTTATGGAGGGTTAGATTTAATGTTTCTGATCGAATTGTTGCCCCCTGGATGCACATTTTTAAATTCATTGCCTATGGAAGTATCCATAGAGTTGCATTCAAAAACTGGGTTGAACTAGGAATTTTGGAAGAGGTTATGTAACATGAGCATATAGAATATGTTTGATTTGCATGGGGCCCTTGGCTCATGGGGGGCCCTAGGTGGTTCCCTACCCTTACTCTAACCACCCCTGTTTTTATGAAGTTTTGATAAGTTGGAGCTGACAGACGAACAGTATAAGCACTTTTACTGAATGTGTGTCCACATTGTAGCATCATAAGAAAGTCTCGTGAATCAGACACAGACTACTTCTTCTGTCATTAAAGGTGTCAAATCTGCATTTTTTTGATGTGTAATAGCCACTGTGATGTAATTTATCACAAATGATAAGACATTATCACACCTAACACCCCTACAAGAAAAAAATAGGCACCACTTTAAAATAAGACCTTTACAAAGAGTTCATGAACGGTTTAAAATGAGTTGATTAATGGTTATTGATTAAGTCATAAAGACCTTCAAATCATTAATATAGCCTTTACAACACATACATAAAAAGGGCCGCAGTGACCTTTTGTTTGGTTAATAGTGAACGCTCATACATTTATACTCAGATTTTGATGTTTCCTGATCTTACTTTGTCTTCCTCAGTCAGCATTAAAGCTGTCAGCTTCATCACACATTCATATACATCAGATGTAACAGCTCACTTTTGCCCTTTTTATTAATGTGTTATAACTGCTTATAAATGATTTTTGAGTGGTACCAAACAAAAAAACCCATAGATAAAACTAAGTAGCTTTTAATTTAAAAAATCAAAATAAAAAAAAATCAAACAATTAGTAGAAATAAATAAATGAAATAAGATGATGTCATTATAGGCTGGCAGCCAATCAGCCACTTGCTACTTTGTGGTTGATGCATGTATGATGCATGCAGTTGTTTGGTGTTCTAGAAGTACTGACAGTAACCGTTCTATACTCAGAAAAACATATTGTGATGCAATTCATCACAATAACATTGACTATATGTCATAATTTTGCCCACCTGTACACCACATAATGTAAAAGTTCTATGCGGATGTGTTTTTTCCTCTACTTTCTTTAAGAAAGAGGGTCTTCAAGGGTTCCTTAGGAGAGACAATGCTTATATATAGAACCACGTTTACAATTACTTTGATGCTCAAATGGTTCTTCGTTATTATTGTGTACCTGTTCTATGTGGTTCTTTAAAAAACCTTTTTTTTTGTGTGCACCAACAACCGTTCCCCTTTTGTTACAAGCCAAGGAGCCTATATTTGCTACTATACAGAGTATAGAACCCCATATCCGAGCCAAGAACCGTTTAGGAACCTTTATTTGTTTAGTTAAAACATATTCAAGGCAAATATTTCCCGCACCCAAAGCTGCCCCTCACCCACTGTCTCTCTCTCTCTCCTTCTCTCTTTCTTCTGTCTCTCTTCACGTCCTCTTCTCACTCCTATCATAGACCGTCCCTCTTGTTTTTTCCCTCCACTCTCGGCCTCACAGGCACTGTATTGTGTATTAATAACAGTGTGGTTGGGTCCTGGCCCCACATATGGATGTTTATCAGGAGTTGGCCCAGAGCAGGACGGAACATGCCGGAGAGCGAGCTGCGCCGTGTGTGTGGCCGGCGGGATGATTAAGTGGGGAGTCCCTTTTTATTCTCCACTCTCCGAGTTTAGAGGGACTGTCATGGGACGGAGGTGAACTGTAAAAGCGGCCTGGGCATTCGTTCCCTTCATTTTAACAAGCTGCCGAATAACTAAATGCTGTACGAACTGGACCTGAACCCGGGAAAAATGTGTGATTACGTCTCGAGTTCCACATAATTTATGTTTTATTTCAGTTTTCCACTATACGCTGAGATGGGCCTCTCGTATGTGAGCCACACTTGTTTCAGTTCGCTTATGTATTAGTTTCATAGTAGTTGTCGAATAATATGTAGTAGTTATTTAGAATAATTCAAAGGCTTTGAGTGTATTGACTCTAACATTGATACACAGAGCCCATATCACTGCTGTCGGAACAAAACCTTATATCTCCATTTCTGTCGTTTTTTAGTTTTTGACATAATTTTAAAATGCCTATTGCCCTTCACACTGTGTGTAAATTTTATGATGAATGGACCAAAAGAAATGACCCAAAATTATTTGGAAAAAATGGTTCCATTGACTTGCATTAAAAGTAATGAATTTTTTCCTTCTCCTGTAAAGATACCATTTTGGAGATACGAGGTTTTGTTCTGACAGCAGTGATATCCTGCATTCTTGTATTTTCTCTTCCTTAAAGTCTGCTGATGATGTCTGTGTGGGTTTATGACCATTGTCCAACCTCACTTTATCCATTAGGATTAAACTGGCTGTTTCTGTTACTGTGAATGTAAGACTTCTTTTAGCTATGGGCTGAAATATCTACATGTGCTGTTTTTTGTGACATCACAAAAAACAATGAATACAGATGAGTAATTGATACATTTTGAAACTTTAATAATATTTACATACTACATTGACTTCATGTAAAAATGTCCATGATATGGGCCCTTTAATCTGAAAGTGATGATCTAACACCACTGAATAATAATAACGCATTCATTCATTTTCTTGTTATAATTCATATTGCCTATATTCCACATCTGTTGCATAAATAGTTCATGTCTATTCAGTGTTTTCTATTTAAATAATTCCAAATCTTAACAAAATAATACAATTGAATAAATTTGTGGAGGAATTTGAGATTTTATGGTGCACTTAATAGTTGTCATTAATAAACATTCAATAAAGAACCATAATCGAGAGTTTCACTTTCCTAGTAGTGTAATAATTCATAGTAGCTGCGGAATAATAAGTCTCAAGGTAACTGAATAGTAAGCTCAGTGTTTAAAATGTTAAAGGGCCCATATAATGGAAAACTGACTCTCCTTCGCTTTTTTCTAATCAAAGAGTTTGATATAGTATGTAAACATTGTTCCAATCTGTACAGTCCATATATGGAAACTATGCAGCCCATTTTAATTTAATTGTTTCTGTGATGTCATGAGAACCAACTCATTTGCATATGTCTGTCTATTCAGCCTACAGCAGTTTAGCTCCACCCTTTCACACTGAAGTTATAAGAAGTGTTTCAGCTTGCACAATACAAGGCAGCCATTCAGAACAAAGCTCATTTACATATGTCTATCATATAGAGATATAGAGGTTAAATCCAAGCAGGAAGGTGCAGTTTATGCTAAAGCCCTGCTTTAGGATGATATATTGAGACATATTGCTGCTTAGCTGGACGTTGAGGTGATGGGCAGTGCCCACTAACGCTGCCGTGTGTGTTTGTGCCCTGCAGCGGACGCTGAGCATGTGGATGCGGGAATGCCCGTGGCCGAGCTGCCCCCACATCCCCACACGCTGCTGGAGCCCAGCATGGCCGGCACGCTGCCCCCCGGCCTGGGGGACCACGACTTGCTGACCTGCGGCCAGTGCCAGGAGACTTTCCCCCTAGGGGACATCCTGCTCTTCATCGAGCACAAGAAGAAGCAGTGCCACGGCCTGACAAGCAGCCACGGCTGCTACGACAAAACGGTGGACCGCAGCAGCCCCTCTCCGCCGCGGGCCGAGCTGAGGAAGGTGGTGGAACCGGTCGAAATCGGAATCCAGGTGACACCCGAGGAGGAAGATGAGAGACTGTTGACGCCCCCGAAAGGAATTTGCCCCAAGCAAGAGAGCGGCCTGCCAGGTAGGTCCCATATTTCTCCCCGAAAAGCAGCCTGACTGTCTTAAAGGAGGCTTTATTATGGACACTGAGCAGCTAGAAATTATATTAGCAGCCTTGAAACTTGAATTTTGTTCATCTCAAAACATGAATTTTGTTCCACAGAGGGTCAGACACCACATAAGCAAAGCACTGTTGAGATTACTTAAGTTTTGAGGCAAGTTTTTGATGATTTAGGCATGCAGCACAAAGCTAGATAAGACAGGAGTATTAGTTTCATTTACTCGTTAGCTGGGTTAGCGTTTTTCCTGTGAAACAAATTAAAAAAACTTTAGACACTAAACATGTCTAGGCAGATGGATTATCTTTTAGGTAAGGGAGACATTACGAGATTTTTTTTTACCAAACTATTCCTTTAAACCTTTATCCCCCTGATAAAGGAGGCTTTAATATGGACAGAAAATACACTGAATAGCTAGCAGTTGGCAAAGCAACCATCTTAAAACATGAATTTCGATCCACAGAGTATCAGAAGCCAAATACGCAAGTCTGTTTGAGATTACTTACCATCTCAACACAGTTTGAGGCACGTCTATTATGATTTAGGCATGAAGCACAATGCTAATTAGGCCTATTAGCTTACGTGGTAGATAGCTTAGCCTAGTAGCTCCACAGCAAACCAAGGTAAAGAAGCAAACTTCAAAAAACATTGTGTAAAACTGATTTTTCTCTATCACTTGAAGGAGGCATTAACATGGATAGAAAATACATTGATTGGCAAAAAAACTGTCGTAGCAATTTTTTAATTGGGATTTTTAATTGGGATTTTTTTCCAATGAGTATCAGTAACAACATAATCAAGTCTATTTGAGATTACTTAACAAGAGTATGATGACCTAGGCATGCAGTTTTCACAGTGCTAGTTAGGAGTATTAGCTTCCTTTTCCTTATTCTTTGGCTTAACCTTGTAGCTCCTGTGCAAAAAAAACTAGAGAAGCATTATAGGTGGCTAAAACCGGTAGCGGCAACCATATTGAAACATAGTGAGTGACAGAAACCAAATAAGCAAGTCTATTTGAGAATATTTAATGAGCAGATTTTAATGCAGACATGCAGTTTTCACAATGCTACTTTGTAACATTAGCTTCCTTTACGTGTTAGTTAGCTTAGCCTCATAGCTCCTATGCAATAGACTGAAGAAGCAGGCCTCGGACAGCAAACATGTCTATTCAGATCTGCTGCAACAGGGAGGAATTTGTGTACATTTTATTTTTCACCAAACTATCCCTTAAAATCTTTAAAAAGGAGGTTTTAACATGGACAGAAAATATGTTGAGTAGCTAAAAATGGTAGCGCCAACCGTATTGAAACATGTTGAGTGACAGAAACCAATAAGGAGGTCTGTTTGAAAATATTTAATGAGTGTATTTTTAATTTAGGCATGCGGTTTTCACAATGCTACTTAGCTTAGCCTCATAGCTTCTATGCAATAACCGAAAGAAGCAGGCCTCAGACACCAAACTGTGTCCATGCAGATCTAGTACAGTTGGGCTAAAGATGAGCTTGTGTACATTTAATGTTTTACTGAACTATCCCTTTAAACCTCGTTATTTTACACCTGTACCGTTGCCACGAGGCACCGGGTCGGCGCACATGCGCACGCCGAGCCCGAGCCGCAGCTTCAGACAAAGGGAGATGCGCTCATTTCCCTCTGCAGGACTGTGGGCATCCTGTAGTGATTGTGATACTGCTCATCTGCGAGCCTCGAGAGAGATTGTTTTTTTCCTTCAGCTGATTTCATTAGGGGAGCCTGTGCCGTGCAGAGTGAAACATCACATTACCCAGTCAAAGCCTCCAAAAACCCCCTGAAGGACTGTGGTAGTTGAAACAAATTGTGCAAAAACGTGACAGAGAGAACTCACCCTACTTTTCATGGAGAAATCCAGCCTGAGCCATCTGCTTAAAAGGTGAAAAGCTCATTAAAATTCAAATACTCAAAATGAGAGAGAGGAAGAGAGAGAGAGAGAGAGAGGGAGAGGGAGAGAGAGGGAGAGAGAGAATAGAGTAGGATTAAAAGAGCCAGTTTGCTATTGAATAGGGGTAAAGAGGCAGTTTAGCTCGGTCCAGCTGCAGGGGGAGAGCTCCCTCTCTCTCTCTCTCTCACTCTCTTAGTTATCTTGCGAAAAACAGCGCAGTCAAGTCCCTCACAAAGCAGCCGGAGGGATCTTGGGAAATGGGCCTCATAAAATAATATTCCGGCTTGGACAAAGTTAGCACGGGGAAAGGCTTATGACACTGGCTCTGGTTTTAATAACCTCTTTTTTTTCTCTCCGCATTCCTTGTTTGTAGAGGTTTCTTGCGGCATCAAAGACAATTTATTCGGTGGCACACATTTAAATGGCCTTAATAATCAGGACTAAGCTAAATTAGTTAGAACCCCACACAGCGCCGAGCCCAGGCCGACCCACGGCGCGCACAGAGAGCCACCGACGGCCCTAATGACGAAATATGATGAAAAGGCTCGTCTCACATTTCAAAGTGTCCCGCTACATACCACTGAAGTGCTATCATTCGAAAGCTCAGACAGATTCGCTTAGTAAGAGCCACAAACGTGTCTCACCGGTTCCCTCACTGTGTGTGGACGAGCAGTTGTGATGTAGGCTGTTGTTTCGAGTTACTTTTTGATTTATGGCATGGAAGAATATCATGTTTATGTATATGTATGTGTATACAGGGGAGGGCAATATGAAGATGTTATTGTTATCATGCTAAATTTTGTCATGAATGCTTCTCTGAGTATTTTGTGGAGGTTGTCAAAGCTTAAAGAACACAGGTCAACTGTGTGTATCATTACAAAGAGAGCGTACTGAGTCCTGTTTAATAGGATTTATTGTAGAACTGTATTTAATGTTGACTGATGAGAAGCACTGTGCTTATTGATTTTCTAAATATGGTGGGTTTTTTATTTTGTTCCTCAACAACTCAATAAGCATCAGAAAAATGAAATATGAGACATATTGTGTATTGTGAATATCTTAGGTATTGTAAAGTTTTTTTTACTTCTCTCTCTCTGAGTGTGTGTGTGTGTGTGTGTGTGTGTGTGTGTGTGTGTATATATATATATATATAGTATATATATATATATTTTAATATATATATATACACACACACATTTTGTCTGTCATATAAATCAACTAATTAATATATATATATATATATATATATATATTAATTATGTATATATGTGTGTTTGTGTCTATACATATATATATATATATATATATATATATATATATATATATATATATATAATAGTTGATTTATATGACAGACAAAATGTGCACAAAAAATGTAAACTTTTTCAAATTTTTGTGTTATATGTTACTGTATCTATCTATCTATCTATCTATCTATCTATCTATCTATCTATCTATCTATCTTTTTTTTCAGCGGGCAAATACAATTTTCCTTGTATTCCGGGAAATATGAATATATATATTTAATACACAATACTCATATATCACAAAATCTATTTTTACAAACATGCCAAGTCATTCAATCTGTCTGGATTTTTAAAATTACTTTCATAATAAGCCAAATTCTATTTTAAACTGCTTTCTTAATAAGCTGTGATTTGAAGGGGGATAATTTTTAATCTTATTTAAACTTCAGCGTTTAAATAATGGCTTATTGAAATGAAAGATGAACATTTGCCTTCCCTGAATCATATTGCAGTTAGTGCGAGTAAATTTTACTCCTTTCATTAGTTCAGGTTTGGAGAGGGAGAGAATTCGCAGGCTGAGAGAATAAAGGCACAGATGAAATGTCCTCCGAAAATGATTAAGAAGCTTGAATGTCAGCTTGGGCGTGCAGCTAAACATGTGCAGGCCGCCTTGTATTCATAATTGCCTCCCAGCAGGTTAAAGTATTCTTTTATGCTAAACCTTTCCGCACCCATTTGTTCTCCACGTGAAATAGAAAATGACACGCTGAAAAACACTCTGCACCCCCCCCCACTTTACCCTGAATATAGCAGAGCTGTTCATACTCTCAGAGCACAGATCATTTTTCATAAATTTGTTTTTTTTTCCCTTTAATATATCCATCTGTCAGCTTCAAACGGAGAAACAGAGAGAGACGGAAAGAGAGAGAGTGAGAAACAGAGAGAGAGAGAGAAGTAGAAAAAATGAGAGAAGCTAAGAGAGAGAGGAAAAAAATGAGAAAGAGAGAAAAAATAGATATAAAGAGAGAAGAGGGAGAGAGACAGAAATAAATAGAAATAGTGTGAGAGAGGAGAGAGAGACTAAGAAAGAGAGACGGAGAGAAAGAGAAGAGAGAAACAGTGAGAGAGGAGAGAAACAGAAGGAATGAGAGAAAGAAAGCAGAGAGATTTGTAGAGACAAAGAAATAGAGGAGAGAGAGACAGAGAAGAGAGAGGGAGAGAAGAGAGAGAGAGACAGAAAGGGAAATAAATAGAGAGAGAGGTGTAGAAAAATTGAGAGAAAGAAACAGAGAAAGAGAGAGAGAAAAAAGATGATCATAAAGAGAGAGAGAGAGAGAGACGGAGAGAGAAGGGGGACAGTAAAATAAAAAGAGAGAGGAGAGGCAGAGAAACACAGTAATAGCAGGGAGAGAAAGGGAGAGAAGATGAGAGAGAAAGAGAGAGAGACTAAGAAAGAAAGGGACTGGGAGAAAGAAAAGAGAGAAAGAGCAAGAGAGGAAAGAACGAGAGAAGGAAAGAGCGACTAAGAGAGAGAGAGAGAGATAAGAAGAAAGAGAAAGGAAGAAAGTGAAGAGAGAGATGTAGAGACAACAAAATAGAAAAATAGAGAGGAGAGAGAGACAGAAAAAGGGAGGAAAGGGAGAGAAGAGAGAGAGAGAGAGAGAGAGAGAGAGAGAGAGAGAGAGAGAAGGTATTTATTTGTTTCTAAGTTTGATCTTTTCTCTCTCTGTCTGTCTCTGACATGTGAGCAGTGTTTTGACAGGCGTTAAACTGCGCTGCTTCATTCACACACGTCAACCTG